AAGTTCATGCATGTTGCAAAATTGGTTCCAATGTCGTTCCTAAACTCCCTATGCCTAATGGGAGGTGATGACCCTTATATGGTTCTGGTTTCTCGAGGAACCAAGGACCTGAAACAGATATCAGCTTTACAACTGAAGAAGGGGGTACGATATGGTGAATTAACTTTCGTGGCCGTTGTAAAGTTGGAGCCAATTGATGGGGAGGCCATTCATGAAACTGTTGTGGTGGCAAATATTTTGAAGGAGTTCACAGATGTCATGCCACCCGAGTTGCCAAAAGCTCTATCGCCACGTAGAGGTGTGGATCATCACATCGAGCTGGAGCCCGGAGTGAAGCCTCCAGTGAGACCACCATACTACATGCCCCCTCCAAAGTTGGCAGAGCTCAGGAAACAATTAGATGAACTACTAAGCGGTGGTCTCATCTGTAGTTCTAAAGCACCATTTGGAGCTTTAGTCCTCTTCCAAAAGAAACAAGATGAGAGCCTTCGATTATGCGTCGATTTTTGAGCCTTAACAAGGTGACGGTGAAGAACAAGTATCCTATCCTGCTCATCACGGAGTTATTCGACCAACTGGGCAAAGCAAAGTATGTCTCTAAACTCAATCTTCGGTCAAGTTACTAGTAGGTGTGCATTGCTGAAGGCGATGAAGCGAAGACTACCTGTGTGACCAAGTATCGAGTGTTCGAGTTCTTTGTGATGTCTTTCGATTTAACCAAAACTTTGGCTACATTCTACACTCTCTTGAACCAATTATTCAAAGGGTATTTTGGACAAGTTTGTGGTCGTCTACTTGGACGATATTGTGTCTATAGCCAAACGCTCGAGGAGCATGTCAAGCACCTTCGAACAATTTTCAAGGTTCTTAGGGAGAACACTCTATTCGTGAAAAGAGAGAAGTGCTACTTTGCTCAGATAGAGATTTTGCTCTTGGGACACCGAATCGATGACGATTCCATTTGGATGGACAAATCAAAAGTGCAAGCTGTGGCGGAACGGCGAACCCTAGAGAAGGTACTGGAGTTTAGATCCTTCATTGGTTTCATCAACTATTATCGATGCTTCATAGCTGGGTATTCAAAGTGCGCAGCTCCACAAATGGAGTTGTTGGAGGAGTAGCCTTGGCGATAGTTCGACAAATGTGAAACGACATTCCAAGACCTAAAGGCTGTTGTGCTGGAGGAACTGGTACTCAAATTGTCGGACTATGGGAAGCCCTTCAAAGTCCATATGTATGCTTTAGACTTTGCTATTGGAGAAGTACTCATGCAGGAGGGTCACCCGATGGTCTATGAGAGACACAAGCTCAACGAGATCAAGTTGCGGTATCCAGTGCACGAGAAGGAGATGATGGCGGTGGTTCACTGTCTACGAGTTTGACAGCACTACCTTCTCGGATCGTGATTTGTGCTAAGGATGAAGAACATTGCATTGAGTTAGTTCTAAACTCAAAAGAAATTCTCCCTAAAGCAAGCACGATGGTAAGACTTCCTAGCTAAGTTTGATATGCTAATGGAGTACAAGCCCGGAAGAGCAAATGTCGTGATCGATGTATTGAGCCGAAAAGTGGAGCTGATGAATGCCATGCAGTTGGAAGGCAGAGACCAAGCAAGTTCGTTGCACTCTAACTTCCTTTATAAGATCAAGGATGGACTGCACGGTGATCCCCAAGCGGTAATTCTGATGCAATTAATCAAAGAAGGCAAGACACGACGATTCTGGGTCCAGGAGGGACTCGTCTAACACCAAATGGAATAGGGTTTATGTTCCTCGGGTGGACAATTTGAGACGTGAACTCTTGAGAGAGTGTCATAATTCCTTTTGGGTGGGACATCCGGGCATTCACTGAACACTAGCTCTCATAGAGAAGGGCTTCTATTAGTCGAAGATGGAGATTGATGTGGAGGAATATGTTTGAACGTGCCTTGCCAACAAGATAAGGTAGAGCAACGAAAGCCGATGGGACTTTTGGAGTCGTTTCTCGTACCAGTAAGGTCATTGGAGAGTATTTCCCTGGACTTCCTATCAAGCGTGTTGGCAGTAGGGGGACTTGGATCGGTACACATGGTGGTCGATCGGTTTTCAAAGTATGCAACATTCATTGCTGCCCCCCTACACTATTCAGCAGAGGAGGCGACAAAGTTGATGATGAAGAATGTTATAAAGTATTGGGGAGTTCCACATAGTATCATCAGTGATCGAGATGCACGGTTCTTGAGATGATTCTAGACTGAGCTATTCAAATTGTTAGGGTCAAGTTATACTTCTCCACAAGCCTCCACCCTCAAACGGATGGCCAAATTGAAAGAATAAATTCGCTCCTTAAGTAATATCTTTGGCACTATGTGAGTGCCAACCAATAGGATTGGATGAAGCTATTGGATATTGCCTAATTCTTCTACAACTTGCAGCGGAGCTTTGCGTCCAACAAAAGCCCCTTCAAGATCATTATGGGATAGCAGCCATCAACTCCTCACACCTTGGCGATTAGTTATACCGGGAGTAGTCCGTCAGCATATCACTTTACGAAGGAATGACACCGAAATGCAGATATTGTGCGAGCTTACTTAGAGAAGGCGGCCAAAAAGATGAAGAAATGGGCAGACCTGGAAGGCGATCAAAGGAGTTTAAAGTTGGCAAGTGTTGGTGAAGCTCTAACGAGTATTACTCTAGTTCTTTAGGCATAAAGTGCACAAGAGATTGGTGCGCAAGTACGAAGGACGCTTTCCAATTATCAGAAGGGTAGGCAATGTCTCATATAAGTTGCAATTGTTGACGTGGCTCAGAATTTACAATGTCTTCCATGCAATCAACTTGAAAGCCTACCACTCAGATCCGCAGGATGCTTTCTGAAGTGTTCCAACTCGGCTACCACTCCAGTTCCAAATTGGCTACCCCCCACCAGAGTCTTCTACGAGAAGCGAGTTGAAACCATCTTAGCGGAGCACAAGGCAAAGCTACCCAACGGAGCGGAGGAAACCGAATACCTAGTGAAGTGGCGAAAGCTTTCCTGAACAAAAGCTAGTTAGGAGCTTGAAGATGCCCTACAGCATGAAGAAACAGTCATCAAAGCCTATTAGCAAGCGTCGATAAGTGTCAATACTTTAAGTGGGGGAGAATATCACGAATGGTCGTCGCACACCTGCAACATCTTCGCTCAACGAACCATTTGGCGCTTTTGCATGCTTGTACAGATGCTTGGCAGAATGTTTTGCTTTGGTTTTGTATGTTTTTGCTTGATCCAGCTTATAGAAATTTAGGTTGTAGCACACATCTTTTAAAGTTGGTGTTGGTTCAGTTAAACACCAACTTGTAGTCATGTCTGCTTAGCCAATTTAAATATGATAAAGAACATTGAGCATATGGAATAGGAGGGCAGGAAGAACCATGATTTGAAATGAATGCAATCTTGGTCTGTTGTGGCAGATTCGTCTAAAAGTAAATTAATCGCCATAAAATTTCCTCCCCAAGGAAATTTCTTACTGCATAACAAGTGTTGGCTGCTTCTTGTTGTTAACACTATAATCAAGGTGTTTTGTCTGGAAACCCTTACTCCATAACATTTCCACCAAAAAATGTTAATTGTCACTAACACAGTCTTCGATTCTTAAAATTTGTTCTTCTTACTTTTTGTGTGTTGATAAATTTCTCTGTGCTAATTTGTTTATTTTGCTGGGCAGCGATACGTTCAGATTCACATGCAGAATAAGAGCTGAAGCTCTCTTCGGACTCGATTGCTCGTCAAATTCTCATCGAAGTTCTTGAAGTGTCACCGGTAGCTGCTGGCATTTTCCAGGTTGCAGGAAATAAAAGTGTTTGATCAAGTTGGTACATCTGAAACCACTGGTCTTTGGGAATTAACCAACTTTCAATTTTAATATAATAATATTTCAATGTGCAATTTACATCTTTTATTTATTTGATCGATGCCTCAAGCTTGCAAATACATTGTGATTATTATTACTTGTGTCTCAGAGGCTGTTAGGCTCCAATGCACGCACGCAGCACCGTCTGGAAGAAATATTTTTTTTTCTAAATCAACAACAAGGTGTGCACTTTTATGACTGGCTTCATATGTTTGTCATCTTAATCCATATTTCTTTTGGTGCTGCTCCATTTGAGCACAGGAAGAACCATGACATATATATATATATATATATATATAGGCAGTAACTGTTGGGTCTCCGAGGCTGATAGAAGAAATGTACAGATTTTTTTTTTCAATAAAAAAGTAATTTTAATTAACTAAGTGACCACGGAAAAAGAGTCGTGCTCCTCCAAGGAGAGAGCTACACGGACGGTCAATCTTTTTGTCAAAGCAACCAACCAACCCTTAGCTTGTAAGCCCAGTGCATAGGTTTTTTTTATTCGCTTTGGTTGACCGAAAAAACAGCTTTGCATCAGTTTCAAGGTGGACTGACTATAAATATCATTTGCCTCAATAATGCATTTATGTGATGCTAAGAGAAGTTTGCAGATATAAATAAGAAACATAAGAAAATACAAATTGATATGCCGTGCAGCTTCATAAAATTGCTTGCTGATATTGTTTTATCTATTCGGCAAATTTAAAGACCAAAAGGAGAGATGGTTGGCATCTCCCCTTCGCCTTCAGGTCTACCTGTTAACACATCATCGGAACTCACTGCACATATATATATATATATATATATATATAAAGAAGAATATGCCGGAGAGAGAAAACACTCGCAGACACACCAGAAGCCAACCTCCTAATGATGCAGGTTACAAAGTAATTCATAGAAATAGGTAAAAGAACACAACTCTTCCACTTTAGCTTCTAGTCCTGTTTATCTTCATTCCTATATATATATATATATAAACTTCAACGGAGCATTTGCTATATATGATAAAGCAACCAACCAAATTAAGCTTCTCATAAATTCAAAGAAATTCCATGAGACCAATTTATATATCCTGTGCTGCACAAAACAAATATAGAATCAACAAGCAATAAAGTGAGCCCTTCCTAATAACTCTGGCAAAAGCACTTAGAATTGTTCTTTTCCAAAATGACTTTTGGACTACAAGAATTTGCTAAAGGATACCAATAAACCAAGTTGAGATATGTTAATATTTTCCACCTATGTTGTGTTCAAAAAGACAGACAATATTTTCCTCATATGACCAACCATGCCAACTGAAAATTGTGTCGGCTGTGCATTGACCATGTTTTACAGTCATAACTTGGTTGCCAATAACGAGGGTGAGATAATGAAAAGGAGTGATGTGAACAGAAACCTTAGCTATGTTGCTAATGTTCCGACTGGCCTGCAACTAGCTTGCAATAAAATGAAAAGCTTATGGTATTAGTGTCAAGTCACCTTAGAACAGGAGCTACAACTCCAGGTGAAACATCTCATTCGCCACAGGGTTATGCCGAAACTTGGGAGCTTTCAGCAGTCTGAACTCTGACTCCCCAGATCATACCACTGATACATTCTCCGTCTCAAAATATTCTGCAAACAAACTAGCACCACCAAACCCAGCCAATTATAGCTTTATGCAAGCCTGGAGGCAAAAACATACTAATCAGTTTCATGCTAAGCAAAAGCATGGATGATGAGTTGCTGAATGTGGATTGATGATAATTGTATGGCCCATGGTCTGCAGCTATGATATGCCATGCCATGTCATGATTTTGGGCAATTTTCCTTCAATGTAATTGCAAAAGGCTAGTTGCGAGAAGATTAAGTTGTATAACTATGCAAGAATGTCTGGTTTCCTCTGTACAATTGGTTAGACAAAATTGGTTATTCAACTGCACAGATAAACTAGAAATTCGCTGATGCCAATGCACAATAAAAAAGCAGATCACTGTGAACAATATAAACAGCAAATAGATTAACATTATCCATGTTCATGATGCCAATGCACAACTACCAACAGATCATGATGCCATACAAGTATCTGTGCCTCATGAAAGATGCTAATGGCACTCATGACCACCAGGTTCATTCACACAAGGATGCTAATGGGAGCTTATAAAGTTTGATGCAACACTATAATTCCCATAATGCAATCTGTTCCTGTTCCATAGTCTTCATGATTGAGCAAAAAGAGCAAAAACACATCCCTTTAATTACTGCTGATAAGTAGGAACTCCATTAGGTTCAGATGAAGCACCACTGATTGAGTCCTTCCGACGCCCAAAAGGGTTCTTTGAAAATGTTTGAAAAGTCAAGAAAAGCAGTTCAAGATACAATAACATAGGAACAGAAGCTTAGATCACATACTAAAATGCAGAAGTTTACACAATGAAAACATAAACGCTTGTTGAAAGGGGGATCATCTAAGGACAACAAAATGCACTGAGAATATACATCCTTATAATGCTTATAGTGGTAGATTATTCTCTCAAAGAAAAAAATTGAGTGTTTAAAGTGTCACCCAACAAATCATTATCACCAAAAAATCTGAGCTATAGTAGGAAAAAATGTGCAGATCAAATATGTTTGGTAAGAAATGCTTATTGTACATACATAGAGACTGAGTAATCACTGGTCGTAGATTGACTAGGTAAATTTTTAGTGCTAGCTCAAGCTTAGCCAACTTATTTTGACTAGTAGAATTATTTTTCAAATTATTAGAAAGTAACTTCAGCATCACCACTCAAATTGTATAGCAGAAAAAAGTTTCATCGTAATCAGGTACACTTGGAGACTCTTCAGACATCTGCTAGAACAGAAAATCAAGGACCTGTTCTATGTTGTTAAAAAAAGGAGAAAGTAGGTTCTTAGAAAACAATAATTATCACACAAATATGCTTATTTAAGATTAAACAACTAAAAATCCTGTAGGTTGTAAGCCTCTTCTGCAAATAATATTATTAAATTACAAATTTCCACTTAGAAATTCATATACATCCGATCAAAGCTGGTTCATTATGTGCAAATTAAATATAAGGCTTTCTTTTACAACAGTTGTAGACAGATCAAGAGAAACATAACCGTCCAGAAATGATAAATTGGTGATCATGGCTTACAATCAGGAGGCTGAAATCACATTCTGCAAACCACATAGAAGGCTTTCTTTGCAACAGCTGTGCTCAGATGAATGAAAATGTAACCCAACCAGAAATGACAAAATGATGAGCATGGGTGGCAATCGGGTTGTAATCATAAGAGACTCCAACCATATCGAATCATTACTAAATTTTATTTGCTTTTTCTTTAGAGTGTGACAACAATCCTATGTTTGCTTTAAGCAATCATACAAGGTAATATCCTCTGTTTTTAATATCAAATAATAACAACAGAAGGAGCAGTATTTCAAGCAATTACACCAAAAAGGGCAGCCAAGAATACAAAAGACTGTCTGCTACAACTCAAATCCATCGCAGGCAATCAAAAAAAGCAAGCTTTCATTCTCACCAACAATATCTAGCTAAATTCATGTAGACAACTCAATAATAGCGATTCAGAAAAATAATACTGTAATAAAAAAGGATATTGAATACGAATGCCACCTCGACTGGAACTAGTAAGAACTGCACCCTGCAGATTCTGATGAACATTTGTGGCACTATTTAAATCCTGCATGAGAAAAAATAAAGAAAACACTTAGAGAAAGTTGACAAATTAATCTAGTCAGCAAAGTTACAATTTAAAGGTGCAGCGTTTTCTTAACATTCCTCCATATACTTACTTCAAACTCAATGAAGCAAACTGTATTTCTCTCCTGCCGCAAAATCTTCATCTGCTTGAAGCCAGGTTGCCTGCATTTTGCCAAATAAATAAGTAAACCAAAACAAAATTCTAGAGTAAGTTTCAACAAAATCCAAATCAAGTATTTGTGTTACTGCAACTGTGAAATGTCATTATTGGTATAGACCAACAGCCTTTATCAGCCTCATGTAAGCATATAGCAAGGTCAAGATTCATACACACTGAAAAGACCTCTGACTTCTTCCTCAATTACATTTTCGCCAAGATTGCCAATGAAAAGAGTATTGCATGGAGGATTATCTTTAGTTTTCTGGAAATCAGAGATAAAATAAATTATATAAGTGAACATACAAATAAATTACACTGGTTAATTCACTTACTTGCTCTAAATAGGCACCCAGACTATGATGGCCAAAAAATGTTACAATAAACCCAACAAAACGTTTCATAACAACCAGAGCAGAGTATCAGCTTCATAACAAAGTAAATAATATTAATTTTTTTCATTAACTGTGACACTTTAAACCCCAATTTTGATCTTCAAGTTTAATTTCAGACACAATAAAATGGAACTGTTGCACAAAGGATATTTTTGGCTTCTAATTTCTAATAAGATGGCTTGGTTACTTAGATCTAATCCAGAGGTACTTGTACAAACCCTTGATATTGACAATCAAGAGTTTGCCGGATCTTGTTTGTTTGATGAAGAAGCCCATCTTCATATGACTTGTTTTCATTCCTTTGCCAGCAAGAAGCAACAGCATCATAATACAAAAGAACAATAATAAAAAAAATCCCACAAATAGTTTAGGCAAAAATGCCCCATCAGCAGCACTCAGATGATATATGTATATTTATTTCATAATTCTTCTATACAGTTATTCTCTAATCTCCTATGCTAGTGCCACAAATCAACCTACACAAAATGTCAAGCAAATCAAAATTATCTTTTGACTACAGCATATATGTCTTAACCACTAAACCTCAATGTTCAGGAGCTACATCAGATCCATGAAAGTCACCTCTTATTATAATTCTGCTATACATTTTTTCTTTCGTCTCCTAACACATTGACCCTAGAATAAAGTAACAAATTTAAATTTGTTTCGCCTACAGTACATATGTCTCATTGACCCTAAAACAAAGTAACAAACTAAAATTTGTTTTCGCCTACAGTACATATGTCTAAACTAGTAAAACTCTATTGTTCTAAAGCTTCATCAAATCTATGAAAGCGTAACTGTATTATCCTAATTCAATAATCCTTGTGTCATACAACATAAAAGTTCACAAATCTTCATCAACTTACATTTCCTCAAATTACATTAAGAAGAAAATTTTCATTATTTTACCACAGAATCTTCTTTCAACACCAGATTGTACTGGACAGTAAAATTACAGTATGATGAGTTCCTTTGTAACTCTCACATTCACTTTTAAGTAATTATCTAACAATTCACAGCTTTACCTGCAATGCTGCAAAATTGAATTGCCAATAAAATTTCTTCTATTACAGTAAATGCTACATCAATTCAAGTTGCCAGGACATGTAATCAACTTATTATACATTTATAGGTTTAATTTCTAAAAAGGAGACCACAACATCATTAATCTATGTCTTCGTGACAGTGTTTTGATATTTGTCTGAAATTTTCATCTCGGGATCCTTCTTTACACTTAAAATTCTTTCATCCCATATGCATGTGCAGAAACAAAGTTAATTCAATATGTTTTCGCTTTTTGCAATCCATGAGGCCTCTCTTCATATTCCACGAAAAGCATCGTTATTGAGTGTTAAAAAAAATAGAAATTAGTTCCCACATGGGACCCTATCATCACCAATAAGTTAATTTTGGGCTTAAAACTGTTCTCAAGATTTTTGAGGGAAAGAACCCAGGTGGCATTAATTGTGGCAGAAAATCACGAAAATAACAACAGAGATATGAAGGTAGAAAAGTTTATTAGGGTTGTATTGCACAGGAATATAATTTATTATAATTCATGACGAGAGCGATGAAAAACTTCAATTCTCTGAAAAAAAAATCTCACAAATTGATTGTCTTTGGCTGAAGAATGATACAAATTACCTGAACAGGGGAATAACGGCTTGGTGCTGGCATAGGAGAAGGGGTAGGCATGGCTACTTGAGGTAATGGATAACCTCCATATGGGTCGTACGGTGCAGGTGGATGTGGTGCAACATAGCTAAAACAATTGAAAGACAAAAGGTCTATTTAGAAACACAAATGCTAAAATTTAATTTTGCTGAGGTCCATGATTTTACCCTGGGGTTCCCCAAACAGGTGCTTGATGAAAAGCAGGAGCTGCATAGCCTGCATGAGTATAATCTCCACCGGTTCGTAGCCTTTTACTATGATCAAGAGAGCTCGACTCAGATACTACACCTACATAATGAAAAACAAAGACAACAATAACACAAAAATCAAAAGCCCAGAAACCATTAGCTTTTATGTGATAAAAGTTGAGAACAAATTAAGGCACAAAAAAATCTAATGCAACAGCACATGCCAGCGTATTCATGTTCTAATAAAAAAATCATCAACCAAGATACCTCAGATGATGATCTTAAATTGTACAGATACAAGGATCTAGATCAATCAGATAAATGATAAAAATGCATATTTTAGCAAACAAGTCCTAAGATGCACATTAAAGCAAGTTATAATGGTAATTGGCTCATGCATAAACAGGTTCTGGGATTGATACTTAAGGACTAGACCAAGACTGGCAACTAAAATCGTATTGTAGGTTGATTAGTTAATTAACGCATGAAAGAGAGCAAATGGGCAGGTCAATCAACCCGACTCTTTCACTTGTGGAATCCTGAAGGTTTACAAACAATTAAGAAACAAGCATGGAAAAGAGTAAAGTTTTCCGATGCAATGTACCGCAAAGGTGAAGAAAGGGATTGTGGTATAAGCATGGCCTAGTGGTTAGAACAAAGACGCCGCGTGCAAACAAGGCGCACCTCTTTTGACAAAAAGGTTCTTCTTTGCCATCTCGGTATGCAGGGAGGACTTCGTTTCGGCGTCAAACACCAAGTCCTGGGCGAGTGAACTCGGCATCAAACAGGGCCAGAGGACGCGAATAAGAAAGGCAAGAGCCCGACCGCGAGAGACATGTAAATCACCTGAAGCGCATCTTTGGCAGCCACGGCATGCTGCGCCGTAGAGAAAAGAGCGAAACCCATGGGTTGCTCTGCCTTGAAGTTGATCTGGGATGCCTCGAAGCCCGGGAACCACCTCAGCAGGTTATGGAGCTCCCTCTCCTTTACGTCCACGGGGAGACCAGTGATGAAGATCGTTCGAATCTTCGAAATAAGAGGGAAATATTCAATTTGTAGCGGCACCTAGGGGAAGGGCATGGCGGCGGCGGAAGAGTGCGTACCTCGTCGCCAGGGGGGCGGTTGGGGACCTCGACGGGCATGGGAGGCGCCACCGCGGGGGCAGGTGGAGGCGCCCACTGCTGGTGGTACGGGTGCATTCCGGCGCCCGCCATGGTTGTGGGTGGTAATACCCTAACCCTAAATTGGTTTGTTTTGGGATTTCCAAAACATGCCGACTCGGGGCAACGACGAAGAATCGGGTCGGGTGTGTTAACGGGTGCTCTTTGAAGCCAAATACACACGAACGGGAACAGAGGCAAAGAATCGGGTCGGGTCTGTTAAACGGGTGCTCTTTTAACGGGTTCGTAATTTTCGCCGGACCTCTTATCGGGTTTGGACCAGAATCCACATACATCCGTATAGAAGGAACCACACTGAGTGTCCACGAACTCAGGCACGATACCCAATTGTGTAGAATCGTCGTCACGACGGAAGACGCGATCAAGGAATCGCATGATTGGGCTTTCCCATGCATCACAGGAGGATCAACGACCAGTGGTTGGAAGCGGGGACGACTCCTCCCTCAGTCTTAATGCAATCGTACGATTGAGATTGGGATAGTCCGTGATCGACGGTTGATACGGTATTTCGGCCTGTTCTATTGATTTCTTGACATAAATTTACATACTATAATGCTTTAATATATAAGCTCCCTATATTATGAGTAGTTCTATGATGAGGTAGGTAGGATATTTCTTAGGTAACAAGCAATGAAGATAATGTGGCAACACGATTACCAAACTTTGTGTGTCCCAAGCTTAGACATAGACATATTATGATTTGTTGGTATCCATTTATAAGAGGTCAATTCATGGTTTGATTTACTTGTAAGAATTTTTTTAAAAAATGATTACTTCACATATGAATGAATAAAGGAAGACGTTAAAAACAAATTTAAAATCCCAATATTAGTGATGGAGGGGAGGACATTTTTTCTGTATTGTTTATGACCCAAAACCTTCAGCTATATGTTGGGCTTAAATTCATGCAAGCATTGCTCATTCTTCCTTTAGTTTAGTTTGGTTGTCATTGAACCTCTTTAAACCATCTAGCAGCTTGGATGGAATTTAGGTATTCATCACCTCTGATGCAAAACAAGTTAGGAGAAGTGTATATTTGCAAGCAACATTTTTCTGCTGCCCTCGTTTAAAGAAAATAGTTAGCACATCCAATCTGATGCATTTGTGTGTTCCATTGATTAAAAAGGTTAAGATACATATATTTCTTTATTAATGACTATTCAGACATCTACATTTTATTTTATTTTATATGTCTAATATTAATAGAACTAGTTTGTAGACTTAGAATAAATATACTTGAGTTAAATATGTTGAACATATGATTCAATTATAAAGGTTAAAAGTTATGTATCATTTAGTTTTTAGATACGGATATTGATGAAAACTCTAAATTTTAAATAGAAATGTGACATGGAAGATATATTCTTATATTAGATATGAGAAATCAATTGGCTCAAAATTGGGATCATATGAGATTTTATAACAAGTTGTTAATCTTAACGACACACTCCAGCTCTAGCGATACCCTCATGTTATTAACTAATCCCTCTAGAGAGGTTGCAACTTCACCTTAAGGCTCCTTCACTTCACTATGAATCTCACTTGGGGTTTCAAACCCAATAAAACCTTTGGTCCACGAGTTATTAACTAGTAACTCTTTAATATTGAATGCTTATTCATAGGCATCATTATTTTTTTTCTCTTAAAGATATGATTGATTTCCTCTAACCCCACGATGTTGAATATTAAAGAATGTTTCTTCTTATTCTACTTTCAATAGGAGCAAGATATATTGCATATCTTAATAGGATCTTGAACGTTTAGAGGTGACATCCTCTAACTAATGTCATGGAAGCTAAACTTCTAATCAATGATTGAGTGTATCAATTCCTCCATCTCTCCCAAGAGAGTATTAGAATAGTGAATGCTTATTCCATATTTCTATTTTAGGAAAAACCCCCAAAGTAGATATTACATTTCTTAGAATAGAATATAGATATTTTGTTAGGATCTACGTAGAGACTATCGTCACCAAGCCACTTTTTCAGGGGGTTTGGATTAGTGAACTCAATCATGATGTGTTCCAAAAATATTATACAAGAATATCTATTTTCTTTATCACTATTTAGGATATATAAATAAGGTTTATCTAATTCTATCCCAAATTAGTGGGAGTGACATTTTCTAAGCAGGTGGCCTATGAAAAGGAGACTCATATTAAGTCTCAAAATTAACCAAAGACAAATATAAGTGACTCAAGTGCGTATGGGTTCCTAGATAAGGGTGTAATTCCAATAGATTTAACGAAAACCTAGCTCCTTACTCGAGTCTCATACGATGAAAAGATAAGTAGTAAAGAAGACAACCCAGAAGAGAGAAAGCAAGCCATGTGCTCCTCATGCAAAGTCTACTCCCAATAGAACTTCTAAGGTTTCAAGTGGATCCTCTGATGTGATCTATGTCACTTGATCCTTCTTCGTTCTCTCCCCTTGATGGTTGTTGTTCTGCTACACCGCATGGGAAATAGGTGAATCAAACTAACTCATTAGTGATCAAATCTAGGAAGCACGAGTTGGAAAAGGGTGAAGTGATAATTAAGAAATGAGATGATGTCATAGAGGATCTTGAGATGAATCCATTTGGAGATACACTAGGCTCCTTTCTTAAGGCGAATAAGAACTCTCATCGAAAGCCTGTATGGGCACATAAGGTATCAGTAACCCCTATTCCTCTATTAAACCTAAATAAGGACCTATCCACTTTCCTAAGAAATCCCCCTACGCTTTTAACTTATTTTAAGTCATATATCTCGTTTCCTCTTTATGAGAGGCGGCATTTCTCCAAAAGTAAAAAGATATGTATAGATTAAATGCCAAAGGAGATAAAGAATGATGAGATAGCACTTTTGGTGACCAAGGTTACCATGGAGTTAGATACGGTCTAAGTTTTTATGATCTTGGGGAGCAAGAAGAAGCTAATTGTTCTTTAGGAGGCATTTGATGATGTTCTTTCGAAGGTCCCTTTATGTCAAAATAGAGATACCTACCTAATATCTTAAGAGACATTCAGCAAGATCTAAACTAAAGTGGATATGAAGCTTTGTCAAAAGTAAGAAAAAAACTACTACAATTAATAGATTAGATAAGAATATTTTGTTATCATATGTACGATGCTTAATCTCGAGTGAGGAAGAGGGCCAAAAACTTGTTTAATATGTTTTACTTTATTTGGAACCGTAAGGTACCTTGTAAAAGGCCATTAGGAATTATCTCACTTATATTTTGTATGTGCTTTATTATATTTTTATTTTTTTACAACAAACTCACACATTAGACACACAAGCTCATCAGCTTATTTAGTCATTTGACAAGAATTAGCATGGTACCCATCAACTTGCAATCGACATTTTTCGAGGAATAAAAGGCTATCTAAAAAGTGTTCCATGCAAGTGACAATCCTTGAAATATGTCTTATATATATGTGAAGGGGTTTATGGTGATTGCAATTGTATTCCTCGAAAAAATTTTCGAGAGTATTCAGAATATAATTGCAATCACCTTTGTCGAGAGTATTGGGTAGATTAGAGAACAAAATTCATTAGGTTAAGTTAGGACTCCTTATGTTCAATTCAAAAATTAACAATGATTGCCTTTCCAATAAGGATGAGAAGAAAATTTTTATCTCTCAAGTCTATACCTTATCCTTCTTAAGCAATTAAGTGAGCTAAGGCAAAGTGTGTTTTGATTAATGTTAGATATTATCATATCTTAATATTTGTCTATAAATGACATAATCTTATTTCTGAGAGTAAAGAGATCCTTAAGCTCTTTACCTATTATTATATTGATTTATAATATAATCACGTGGATCCTAGGGTCACTAAGATTAATTGGTTAGTTATGTCGGAGCTCAATAGTGAAGAGTCTTTATTTTGCTTAGTTTTTCAATCTTATAAAATTTGTGATGCTATTTTTAATATGGATTTAGAAAAATGTCTGGCGCTAATGATTTTGACCGATTCCTTTCTTAATGTCTTCCAAACATTCTATGAGACATTTGCTATACTTATTGATTGGATTAAAATGATTCTCATCTTTATCACTAAGTTAAGTTATCCAATAGAGATCAAACATTATAGGCTAATCTTATTATATAATATGTCAATTATGATACTAGCTAAGGTTTTGGCCAATAGGGTTATGACCCACATCTAGAAGCTCATCTCACCTATGCAACATGGATTCGTTAAGGATAGTATACATGATAATATCTTGATTACTCAAAAAACCTCATTCCTTCTATAATTTGCAAGGTAAGAATCCTCTTGTGATTATCAAAATTGACCTAGAGAAGGCATTTGATAGAATTTCATAGTCGGCCCTTAGGAACTCTCTTCTAATCATGAAATTCCCAATTCAATTTGTCAATTGGGTCTAATCTTATATCTCTTTTCTATTGTTTTCTTGTGAGATTAATAGTAAAAGATCTAAATATTTTAAAAGCCAAATAAAGATTAGGTAGGATGACTCTTTATCGCCCTACTTGATTGACTCAAATCTTAACTCAATTGTTCAATGATACTGTTAATCATAGATTAATTATCACTTTTAAATTTGACCTCAATTATAAGATTAGTCATATCATGTATATTGATTGTATTCTATTGAGCTTTAAAGCAAATATAAAATTCTATTTCATGATCCTTAAAATATGTGTTATATGAACCTATGACAAACAAATCAATCCAACTAAGATTGAAATTTTCATTCCTAAAGGTACCAACAGTCACACTACTCCTTTGATATGCTCTTTGTTATGATACAAGGAATGTTTATTTCCCTTCATATATCTCGGAGCTTCTGTTGCTCTCAACACGACTCACTTAGGTTTGCATAATGATATTTTCATTAAGCAATTCATAAAATTAGGTAGTTGGGAGGGTTAGTACCTCTCATAAGTCAGGTTGCTTGGTTTTGATTAAATCTATCTTAAACTCTACTCCTCTTTACACTTTTAGTATAACTTGGATACCTACTAAGGTCCTTCGTAGAATTATCAATTTGATTAATAATTTTATGTGACAGAAAAGAGATAATTTTATAAGTTTGTACCTTAGTGCTTTGCATACAATCATTGTTCTTATAGCTCAAAGTGGTTTTAGTTTTTTTGATCTCAATTGATAGAAATTAAGCGAAGAAGATAGAAAGATAGAAATTGTAGAAGAAACTATGAAATGTATAAGATATAATTGCCTAATACATTTTGATAGTGAGTTCTTGACAGCCATTTATACACACTCAGTAGGGAGGTTATACACATTCAGCATGGAGGATTTTTCTCAACTGCTGAGAGATTTCCTCAACTGCCTTGAGGAAATCTTATCTGCTTCTCAACTGGTGAGAGATTTCTTCAACTGCGAAATCTTATCTGCTTATCATGCCCCCGCAAGATTGAGCTTCCATCAAGGATGCCGATCTTGGACCGATGAGATGAAAATAGTTTACGGGCGAGAGGCTTTGTGAGTGAGTCGGCTAGTTGATCTGCTGTATGTACATGAGAAATTCGGAGTTGATGTTTGGCAACTTGATCTCGCACAAAATGGAAGTCGATGGCTATGTGTTTCATGTAGGAATGGAACACTAGATTGGCACATAAATAAGTAGCTCCAATATTATCACAATATATTGTAGGAATAACCGTGGAGTTGACGTTGAGTTCCTTGAGCAAATTTGTGACCCAATTGAGTTCAGT